TATTGCTTCGTAATTGTTGTAAAAGAGTACAACTGCGCTTTCTTTAATATAGAGAAATGGATCCGCTTCCGACTTCCGCAGAATTCGGCCTTTATTGCTCTTCGGCTTTTGCCTTCCGCTTTTTAAAATTCAAAATTCTCCAATATTGATATAACACCCTGATTAACATTCAACTTCTAATTTGGTAAAGAGGAATGACTGTTTGACTGATATCTAGAGCGTGTATTTTTAGGTCCAAAAAATTGCTAAATAAGTAGTAAACCCCCCCCAAACGTCACACCGTCACACCCCATTTGATCACCTGTCAATCAAACCTGAGGCTATAGGGGGTATTTTTCTTTTGATCTTTGCCGCAAACCCTTTGTTTTTGGAAGGGTTTGAGGGTAATTAATCATGATTAATTAGGGTAATTAATCATTGATGATTAATTGCTTTTTGGTGGAAGTTTGCGGTAATTGACAGGTTTGACGTTTGTGGTGACTGGGTGGTCTGTTGCAACATTTGGAGGGTAAAATAAAAAATTTTAAAGCAATATTTGGAATTGCGGTAAAATACTAGAAGAGAGTCAGAAGGTTTTGGATGGGTGAAAATGCGGTAAAATCATAAAGAAATGAATTTTTGGGTTTTCAATTATCTATGTGGGTAGATGTAACGGAAATATTTAATTGAAAAGTTTTGACTGATTCAGAAGTGATTAGGTACAAAGATAAGTATAAGGGACTGATTGATAAATGATAGGGGTGGGAAGTGATAATTAAAATATGAAAAGGTTTAATGGGTATATTTTTGTTTAATAATAAAGACACTTTATAAAATTTTAAAAAATAAAATCCCCGAGCGGAATCGAACCTTCAATGTCCTGTTTTTTATATGCGGGAACCTTATCCATTCGGTCAAAGGGGTGTACTTAAATTTAATAAAATAATCGGATAAATTATAAAAATTAATTTCTCTGTGCATTTTGGGGGATGGGGTGGAGGATTTTAAAAATTTTAAAAATTTTGTAAATAATATAAAATTAAAATAATTTAAAAAATTAAATTTAAAAAATTAAATAAAATTGATAATAAAAATTATTACAAAATTTTGACAAAAATAAAATGATTTTTAAAAAAGGGCGGAAGTTCAAATGTAAGGGGATTTATTCAAAATGCCAAATTTCAAAATTTGGCGGGAATTCAAATTTTAAAAATAGGCGGGGATTTTTAAATTAAAAATTAAAAAATATTAAATTTAAATAAAATTTAAATAATTAATTAAATAAAAAAAATGTGGGAAGAAATAAAATTTTCAAAATTTTACAAAAATTTAAAATGTTTTAAAAAAATGGCGGAATTTCAAATATAAGGGGAAGTAAGCAATTATTTCAAAATGTCAAAACGACAAAATGGCAACTTCGAAATGTCAACTTTAAAATACCAATTGGCGGGAATTTTAAACTATTTTGGAATGTGAACTATTTTGGAATGTGAAGTTGAGTCTGGGACTGAAATTGATTGGTGGTGATTCTAGATAGAATTACAGAATGATCAAGAGACGCACGCTCACAACCTTTGTAAGCTCACTATATTAATTTACTTAACATAGCACACGTTACTCAACGTGCACATAATGTATTGATGTAAATTTTTGTAAAGTTAAGACTTAGAATATAAAATTGATGCAGAGTTAAGGAATATACACTCCTCCACAAAATTATAGCCCCACCTATAATTTCTCCGGTTTCAATACTGTAACCGTTGTTTTTATTTTCAGACTTTTTTGTAATAATAAATATTGGTCTAAAATTAGGTTTGTAAAAAAATTTTGTTTTCAAATCAATTTTTTCGAGAGTTATAGGAAATCCCCAGTTTTTGGGTTCCACAAAATTATAGCCCCACTTTGAAATTTCGAGTTTCTAACATTAGGAAAAATCTACAAAAATTTGAGCAAGCATATCTATTGATACTAAGAATAAATGAAAAAGAATTAGACCCATATCTCACTTCAGTGTCGAGATCCAGATACCTCGAAAATCAACGTAAATCGGGGGTAGGGCTATTTAAAAAATATTTTCGACCCCTTATCGTTTGTTTTAAAATTTCAATTTGGGCTCATTCGAAAGCTCTTAAAATTTGCTACAAGAAAGTAATACCCATATATCCCAGAAAAAATTCAATAGAGATATGCAGGACGATAATCTTCCGGAGCTAATTTTATGGGGCATTATGGGGCTTATTGAAACAATTATTATGGGGCTTACTGAGATAATTTTTCTCGAAAATAAAACTTATCCTATCTTGTAGCAGATTTTAAGGGCTTTCGAATGAGCCCAAATTGAAATTTTAAAACAAACCATAAGGGGTCGAAAATATTTTTTAAATAGCCCTACCCCTGATTTACGTTGATTTTCGAGGTATCTTGATCTCGACACTGAAGTGAGATATGGGTCTAATTCTTTTTTATTTATTCTTAGTATCAATAGATATGCTTGCTCAAATTTTTGTAGATTTTTCCTAATGTAAGAAACTCGAAATTTCAAAGTGGGGCTATAATTTTGTGGAACCCAAAAACTGGGGATTTCCTATAACTCTCGAAAAAATTGATTTGAAAACAAAATTTTTTTACAAACCTAATTTTAGACCAATATTTATTATTACAAAAAAGTCTGAAAATAAAAACAACGGTTACAGTATTGAAACCGGAGAAAATATAGGTGGGGCTATAATTTTGTGGAGGTGTGTAAGATAAAGTTAATAAAAAGTTAATGACCAGAAGGTACAGTTTATGAAAAGTTAAAGGATAGAAGATACAATTTGTGCAAAGTTAATCAATGGAATATACAGATTTTGGGGGTAAAATTGCAAAGTTTAGCGTTAGAAGACACAATTGCTTCAAAGTTAAGCGTCAGAAGATAAAATTGTTGAAAAGTTAAGGGAAAGAAAACAAAATTGATGCAAAGTTAAGGGATAGAAGATGTAGATTTTGGGGGTAAATATGCAAAATTAAAAATAAGAAGATGCAATTAATGTAAAATTCATAGTTAAAAGATATAAATCTTGAAAAAAATTGGGACATTAAGAAGCAATGTTCAAAATTTAGAGATAATTTTCCAAACAATATTCCTTATTTGTTCTTTGTCCATAAGAAATGTATACATAAATCTCCCACAATGCGTGGGTATACTTTAGTAAAAGTATACTGTACATATCTTGATAATTATGGAATAAAATCCTTAAAATTGCATTCACATTCAATAATATTAAATTAATAATTTTAAAGTTAAGATAAATTATCATTATTAAAATAAAATATAACATTTTTAAAAATTAATTTATTATTTTAATAAATATAAATCTTGAAAACCTTATTACTATCTTTGCTACATAACAGTTAACAAGAACTAACAACAATTTATAATATAAAATCATTGGAAAAATGTTAAAGTTTTTGATCATATTAATAACTATACCGTCATTATTGGCTGAAAGCTGGGACGCCAAACCATGGAAGCGAGAAGAATTAGTGAGTACATTATACCGGAGGACGCCTCTACCAATATGGCGGAGAACACCGCCGCCAATATTTCCTAGCAGAGATAAAAATAATTCAGTGAAACTACCAATATGGCGGAGAACACCGCCATCAATATTTCCTAGCAGAGATAAAAATACTTCAGTGGAAATACCAATATGGAGGAGAACACCACCACCAATGGACGCCAAAACCGAGATGAGAGAAGAATTAGTGACAACATTATATCGGATGACGCCTCTACCAATATGGCGGAGAACACCACCACTAATATTTCCTAACAGAAATATTAATAATTCAGAGGAACTTCAACGAGGCGATAAATTAAGTAATAAATCATTGTACAAAACTGATGACGGGAACAAATTATCAATGAAATGGATTGTAAAGGATATCTATTACCTGAACAAGAAAGATTTAAACAGACAAGCAGAAATAAAAAATATGGGACGTTGGATTCTACGTTGGGACCTTTACGACAAAAAGTTCAAATTTGGAAAACATAATAGAACAGACTACTTGATGTATTCAAGATGGCGATTTTTATATGAACCTCCTTTCTCAAATATTATAAACTATTTCAAAAATTTGTAAAATTTTAACAAACAATATTTTATTGTAAATTATAATTATTTAATAAATATTTAAATAAAACAAAATTATCAAATTAATTAATCATAATATTGCGTTTTTCCCATTGGTTAGGTTTACCTTCTATTTTAATCCACAATATTCCTGGTCTAGATTTCCCATTAGTGGGTGTCGATGGTAAGGTTCCGTCGGATATTGTAAGACTGTTGAGACTAATTGTTGAAGTTGACGAAGTTGCATGCGTACGTCGTGCTTTAAATGTTAACCCGCTTATTGTAGACGGAGGCGATGTAGGAGCAAAACATAAAAGTTCAAGAGGGTAATATCTCTCGCAAACTCCATTCTCTGTACATGTTCTTTCAATAACACATTGATGAAATGGGTATTGAAGTTTTAATTTGTGATGAGCAAAGAAATATGCCGCAATCGATATATTAAATGGATAACTTAAATTGCCGAAGGCTTTGATTAAATGAGCTCCTGTTGTTGTAATACCATCACACCTAATTTTTCTTTTCATTCCATTCCTATCAAGATAATTTGTCTCTAGCTCTCCCTTTTCTTTTATAAATTTTGCGATCAAATCGGCATTTTCTTGATACATTAGTCTATATCTCACCAAATAACAAGGGCAATTTAATTTTTTAGAAATATCATCCAAAACAGAATTCATTTTTATTGATTAATTTTTAATGTATGTAAATGATCAAATGACTTTATTAACTTGAAAGATTAAAGAAATTGTCCCTTTTTATACGAAATTTTTTTTGAAATTTGGCAAATATTACGAAATCTTGAGAAAAGGGGCGGGGCTTAAGCGAGTATATAAGTACAGATTTCCCAACTCGCATTCATTTCCTCATTCATTTAAAATAAAATTTGAAAATAAAATAAAAAATGAGCGGATTGAAAAAAGAAAAAATCCCAAAAATTGAGGAGAATGAGGAAGAGATAATTGAAGTAGAGTTAGAAAATGACACTGAAATAATCAACAAAGCAAAATCCACTACTTCGAAAATAAACAACGGAAAAATCGAGAAAAATAATAATAAGCTAAATCCGCGCGTACTGTGGAAAATTATGCGCATGAAGGATACACCAAGGATTGAAATAAGAGTTTGCAAAAAATGTGCAAATGCACTTTACAATGATAAGAATAAATTCACACAGAAGGAGAACGGAAATATTGGAATATGTTTTGAAATTTGTGAAAGCTGCGCGAAATTAAATATGCAATTCAAAGATTTTGTTGCTGACTGGGATGAGAAGAATATAGAAAAGTTGAAAAAATGAGTAAAAATTTAAAAAATATTTTTTCTTAACATTGTTATTTTTAATTTCAATAAATGTAATAATTTAATTTGAAATAAAAATTTTGAAATTTAATTTATTATTAATTAACATAGGAAAAATCATAAAATTCAAATCACTTTTTTGAAAACCACGCCCATTTTCAGAGTATAAATACTGAAATATTCCCCTGAATGTAATTTCCATTCAAAATTTGAATTCATTTATAAAAATTATTTAAAAATGTCAGTAATTGAAAATAATTGCCAGCTCTTAGAAAAAGTGCTCCCTGAGGTTTTATTTGCGGTATCTTCTTCTGGTGTGACAATTTCGTCACCTCGGCTCATAACAGCACGTTTTGTGGAGTTTGACTTGGCAGGGAAATGTAAAAGTTGCAAGGGAGAAAATGTGGACATTGATTTTATTGTTACTCCGAAGGATGTAACCTTATATTGCAATCGGCTAAAATCAGAAAAAGTCGTCATGTTTGACCATATATATGAAATCCCTCAACATTGTGTCTTTCGTGTTAAATCAAAAGGGAAGAATTACAATATTATTCATAAGGAACCAAAGTGGAATGAAAAAGATTTTATCAAAGGAGAAGGGCAAATGACTGTCAAGGAGTTTTTGTCAAAGTTTTCACAAAACAAAGCTCAAGTAGGAATAGAAGAAACAAAAGAAAATATAAAAGAAGACGATAAAGAAAAGAAATTAGAAGAAAAAGATAATACTCAAAATAATATTTAATCTTATTAATTCAACCAATTAATAATCATTACTCATATTTTATATTTTTATTTTCGACAAATATTCGTATAATGAATTATAATTTATTTTCTAATAAAGATTTAAAATTAAAACTTCCATTTGGTTGTATTATTAGTGGACCAAGTTCAACTGGTAAAAGTACATTTGTACGAAAATTAATTTCCAACTGTGATCAACTTATTGAGCCTATTCCAAAATCTATCCTCTACTGCTATGGCGAATATAATTCTCTTGTTCCGGAACTACAGCGAGCAGGAGTCTCAGTTTATTCAGGAGTCCCCCCTGAGGACCTTATTAAGAAGCAAGAACAACCTGCACTTGTCATTCTTGACGATCTAATGTACTCAATCGACGAAAAATATTTATCTGAACTATTCACAAAGAAATCTCATCATCTTAATTTTGGTATAATTTTCATCACCCAGAATCTTTTCGAGAAAAAACTCAAGGTCGCACGACAAAATTCCATGTATATTGTATTAACTCGCGCACCAAATAGTGCATTGGCCGTTCGAAATTTAGGAGTACAATTATTCCCAGGAAGATTAAATTATTTTCTAGACGCATATCGGCAAGCTACAAGCAGCAGTAATTATTCATATCTTTTTATTGATTTACACCCTTCATCAGACCCAACACTTAGACTAAGAACAAATATATTTAAAAACGGAGAATCAGAAGAAAAAAATAATTCATTAACAATTATATTTTTACCTAAAAATTCATCTAATTAAAATAATGTCAACGAATATTAGCCAACTTGTCAAGGACAATTTGCAATTTCTCAAAAAACTCGCAAAAACACGTTCACTAACTAAAAGAAGACAGCTTTTAAAAAAAGCTTCAACAGATCAATTACTATCTCTTACAGAAATTTGTTATAACATTGTACGAAATCAATTTAAATTAAATAAAAGACAGAAATATCGCCTTTTACCATTCGCTAATTTTGTTCGTCGTGTGAGTAGACTAAAATCAGAAGGAGGAGCCCGACGTACAGTAATACAACAAGGAAGCGGTTTACCAATAGGATTATTTCCTGCACTTTTAACACCAATCATTATTGAATTAACAAAAGCATTGACAAGCAATTAATAAAAATGGCAAATAAATTTATATTAATTCCTGAAGATATATATCGCGGACTACTTGCTCACCCCATACCAGAAACTGGAAATATCAATTTGGATTTTACTCGAGAAAATTTGGAAACTATTAAAAATCAAAATGCCAACACCGAATTAAAGAATATAAATTATAACCAGGAATTAAGACGATATTTACACATGTTAAAGGATCAAAATGATAGACCAATGAATGTTTCAGTAAAACAAATGGAAGATCCAGCACTGGAGCAAATAAAAAAATTACTTCCCCTCCTTCAAACAAACTACAATGAAAGCCGTCAAGTAACCGAAAGCACTCCAAAAGCTTTTAAACAAAATATTGTCACACCAAAATTGTCCCCGATAGATGAAAATACTGAAGATGATCTTAGTATGCACACAGCCGAGGAAGAATCTCCTGAAATTAATGGAAAAGCTGAGCCAAAAAGTACAACAATAAAGGAAAAAACAAATGAAATTTTTGAAAATATGAAACAGGAAAATCTTGATAAATATGACGTGAACACAGAAGGGAAAATTCTAAGTAAAAAGGGAGGAAAAGAAATTCAAGGAAGCAATGCGAAAAAATCTATAGAGTGCATTCTTCGAACTGGAATAAGCGGGAAATTGAGATGGGGCGAATTGACACCGCCCGGAACATCAGTTTTAGAAAACAAACTAAAAAGTGATTATAAAATTTGGCCGTTGATAGAGAAGGCAAGAGAGAGTTGTACCCCAAAAAGAACATATTCAAAACAAAAAAGAAAAATACCTGAATCCAAGGAAATAGCTGAAACAAAATGGAGACCTCCAACAGAGTGGAAATGATATTAGATAAACTTTACAATGATCCAGCGAATCCGGCAGGATTTGCTGGTGTAAACCAGCTATGGACAGAGGCTAGAAAAAAAGATGCAAGTATTAAGAAGAAGGATGTTGAGGAATATTTAGAAGGTCATAGAACTTATACAATTCACCGTCCTAGACGCGTGCACTTCAAAAGATCAATAACAAATCCGGCAGGCTATATGACAGATGTTCAGTGCGACTTGGCAGATTTCCAAAAATTATCGCGGCAAAATAATGGAAAGAATTATGCACTTGTGGCAATAGATGTGTTAAGCAAGAGAGTTTTCGCTGAACCTGTTCGCACTAAAAAATCAAATGATATGATTGATGCATTTGAAAAAATTTTGTCAAGAATGGAAATGCACCCCCACCGTATTTTTAGTGATAAAGGGACTGAATTTTGCAGCAAGGAAATTATGGATTTCTTCAGGAAAAAAGATATTGAAAAATATACGGCAACTTTTTCTGAAGTCAAAGCATCTCTAGCTGAAAGATGTATTCGCAACATTAAACAGAGATTGTACAGATTTATGAGTGAGAAGCAAACTTTAAAATGGACAGAAGCATTACCGAAAATAGTTGACGCAATAAACCATTCAAAGTGTAGGGTATTAGGTGGATTAAGACCAGTTGATGTTAGCTTTAACAATGCAAAGAAAATTAGAGAAATGGTATTTGGACCTATTGGCAAGAATAAACTTAGAAAAAAGCCAAGATTCAAGGAAAATGATCATGTGCGTATGAGCAGAAGTAAAAATATTTTTTCAAAAGGTTATCTGCCGAATTACAGCGATGAAATTCTTCAGATAGATCTTGTTAAGAAGAAAGCTAATCCCAACAGATACCGTGTGCGTGACGATAATGGAGAATTATTTAAAGGATATTTCTACCCTGAGGAATTAACACGAGTGAGGAAGGATGAGAATACTAGTTACAGAATTGAGAAGATTATTAAGAGCAGAAAGAAAAACGATGGAAATAAAGAATATCTTGTAAAATTTTTCGATTATCCTCAACCCCATTGGATAAATGAAAATCAATTTGTATAAAAAGCCAATTTTTCATTCCCCATAAATCATTTTTACATTTTTTAAATCAATTTTCATTTTATTGTTCAATTTCTAATTATTAAAAATAAATAATGGCTAATACATTCTTTGTTGTTCTTCCTAGCAATGTTAGTGATTACCCAGATAATAAGCCAAATAAATACCGAGTGCATCTCCCTAAGCCAATAGAATTTCAAGGTGGAAACTGGGTATGTGGCCTCTACAGTATCCAATACCCCCAGTCATGGGCTGCAACAATTGGCACCGACGTTAAACAATGGATCGAAATTAATTACAATAACAAGAAACCGCATAGAATTGGAATTCCCAAAACAACACAGTTAACACCCAGCGGACTTAGCTTCTTTTTAAAACTTGTATTATCCAATAAAGAAAAACCTAGGAAAAGACGTGATGTTTCAATCGATGCTTTAGAGGATGAAATTATTATTGACCCCGAAATTAATTTAGTTGTGGAGCCTGCTAAGAAACGAAGAAAGAGAGAGGCAGACAAAGTAGATACTGTGCCATTATGGGTAAAGGAATTTTTTAATCAGTATCCACACAATTACTGGGAAGCCATACGCGATTATGAACAAGAATTAGAACAACATAAAGTTAAAATAGAGGAAAAAACTACGCAAGTTATTAGTGAGAAGGATGATATACAGAAGGAAGAATTTCAGCAAGAACTTGATCACCTAGAATCCCTTTCAGAGGGTAAGAAGAAGGAAATTCGTCTTTTAACAGAGGAGGCTAATAAGAGAGATAGGCTTGATGGACGACTTATTACAAATCAGTTTTTTGAACAACACCCAGATGATTATCACGAGCAAGTAATAAAGATGGAAATAAATATAATAGTAAGATACATTGAGCTTGAAGATAAAATTAAAGAGAGCAGGGAAGAGGGTGATAAAAATGTTCGTTCTGGAGAAGAAATTCAAAGGTTTATTACTTCAATAAAGCGTATGCGAAAAAACTTAGAAGCATTGGAATCTGCAATAATTGAAAGAGAATTTAAAATTAGTAGAGATGAGTTTAATCAGCAAAATTCAAATACACACTCAGAATTTGTCCAAAAATTTTTTGACGACCACCCAGTGGATCATTGGACAGCTTTGAAGAAAAATTTAGGTGATCTGCAGGAATTACACAGACAAATTAGAGAAAAAAGAGATTTACATTCACAAGAACAAGAAGAAGAAGAAAAGAATAAACTAACTAAGGAGATTGATCAGTTAAATAAATTGGCTTCATACAGAAGAAATAGATTTACAGCGATACATCATGCGGCATACAAGAAATGGAAAAATTTTGAGCTGCCAATTCCACCAACTAGGAATGAAATTAAGGAGATGCAAAAAATCGAAGAGAAAACTCATCCAGAATATTTGGAAGATGCCCTAAAGGTTGATGGTCAAGGCAAACCAGTTGCAATTCCTGCTCCCGTAATTACAGATGAAATGGTTGAAGTTGTCAAGGACAGGCACGGGTATGAGCAGGACAAGGCCAGAGAGTCAGAGGAAAATGAAAGAAAAGATAAAGAACTTAAAGAAAGCAAAGAACAATTAAAGCATGCAAGAAGAATAGATAAGTATGGACAAGCTATACCGTTTGAGCAACCAATAGATGAAGAGGAGAATGTAGCTGAGGAGGAAAGTTTCGAAAAAGAGGAAGAAAGTTGGGAGGAAAAAAGCAGAGGAAGTCCAGTATTAGATTTGGATTCAACAGAAGAAAATATATCAACAGAGGAGATATTTGATGAGAAAAAGTATGAACAAAATACTGATGATCTAATTAAAGAAAAGACAGTTAGTTTGATTGAAGAAAAGGAATCTCACTTAAAAGATTTACATTCGGACATTGAATTTGAATATTTGGACAGCATTGATCGTTTTAGGGTAATTTTCAATGATCCTGAGATTAGAAATATAACAATATCTTCACAATTATGTTATGTTCTCGGCTTCCCTATGGGCCCATTGGTAAATGGTCAAATTGGAAAATATGGAATTGATCTCAAAGGAGGATTCACAAGCTTCGCTGTTTATTCAAAGGGGTTAACGGGAACTGTAATTATGGGAAATTCTGTCAGTTCATTACTTAGAATTGTGGCTGTCGAGAATAGGTCTGGTGGAGTTGTTGAAAGAGTGTATGATCAACCAATGTTCATACCGGTATTGCCTAGAGAGATTAATGAGGTTGAAATTGAACTAAGATGGATGAATGGAAGTCTTGTGAAATTTGATCATGGAACTGTAATTATTACTTTAATGTTTAACAGAATGATAAAATTTTGATTAACTCAATATTATTTTTAAAAATTGTAAAATTTTATTATATATTTTTTATCATTTTAATAATAAAATTAAAAACAAATTCGTCTGGATTAGAATAATTTAACAATAAGGATAAGAATTTTTTATAAGTGTATCCAGAAGAAATAAAATAAATGAAGGTGATACAATGTTGCCCACAAGTGGGAAGTAGAGGGTTTTGAAGGGGAACATTATTCATTACTCGGTTTGGAAATTTGGAAGTAAAATTTTTTATTTGTGTAGGAATTTCTGGAAGCAATAATGAATCAAAAATAAGTATCTTCTCGGGGTTTATTATGAAAAATGCAATCCAATGTGATCCGTTTTGAGAAGATTTTTCAAGGTTGACGACCATTGAACAGGGATATTTTTGAATTTCTTGTGGGATTTTGTCTGCGGCATAGCATCCAATAAAACATCTTCTAGTAATTCGGTTGTTTTTTAAAATTTTCTCGATTTGTATAGTGTCCATTTTCGTTGGATAGGAGATGTTTATAACTCTCTTTGTACTTCTCCAAGTTCAACGTCCTTGCTGTTGTTTTTAATTTTTATAAACTTTCTTAGTTGATAAGTTAAGGCACTAGCTAACAATAACAGCCAGAGTATAATCAATAAAACGCAGTAAATAGTTTGAGCGATTGATGTTCCTGAAGATGGAAATTCCTTGCAAAGTGAAGGAAATTGTACATTATTCACATGTTCCATTGATGAAAAATTAAAAATATTAATATCTGTTTCAGGATTAAAATTAGAGTGATGCCTAGTGTTATGTTGAACTTTTTCAGAAATTATTGGGAATTTTGTTGAAGACGAATTGATATGTTCGATTGATTTAGGAGGTATTGTATTTGCGTAATAACCTATACGTTCTCTTAATATTTCTCTATATTCAAGATTATCATTTTCATTAGTCATAGAATATTGTAGTGATAATTTATACAGAAAGAAAAATAAAATAATAAAAATGAAGCTAAATTCAATTTTAATAGTAATATGGAACATTTTAAATGAAATGGGGAATAAAAAATGAGGAAAATTGGGGGTATTTATACTGAAATATCTGTGGAAATAGTTCTGTTCCTATCTAACATTAGCAGCGAATCGATTTCACCCATTGCTACAAGTACAATCCCACCACTTGGAACCGGTTCGTTGAAGGTCATCCTTATACTTGTTGTACCATTCTTTATTAAATCAAACATCTCTGGCCCATTATCTTCCTGACTATTTGTGAGGTTAAATACGAAGAAGCAATATCCAGCATATGCATACCGAAACATTGATATACCGTTACTTTCTAGTGATCCCGCGTACCCAATTGCTTCTTGCATGTCATGATATATTCTAGCGTAGTTTCCTTTCGGAAAATCAAGGGAATAAGGGGCTGCTGGAAAAGTTACTCCCCCGGCAGTTATGGAAATATCTCTCAAATTAAAATGTTGAAAATAAAAAGGAGTTGTTCTTTGCCGTCCTACAAAATCTTTATTATCAACCATTCCCAATATAATTCTTCTAGGCACCTGATCCATCCATAGATTAGCATTAAATTCTGTTCTATTTTCACTGATGAATAAGGATTTGAGAGATGTTTTTCTTAACGGGTATCGTGCGGGCTTTATTTCGAGTTTTTTCGAGATATCAAAGGCTAGACTGTCCATTAGCTCAATCTTCTTTACATATAATTTACATGCCAAAATTTCTAAATGGTATTTTGGAGCTGTGTCCCAGGGAGCACTAAGTAGGAAACTTGATTCATTTGGCAGTAGTTCAATATCAACTTCACATTGGTTTACTAAATATCTTGGTTGATTACAAATATCAACATCCAATTTTGCCATAAATTGTGCACTACGCGGGTTTCCATCTTCGTCTAAGAATAATCTTTTCCTTGATTTAACTCCATATCCATTAGAATCAACTCCTGGGTAGGTTTGTGTGGCTCCATCATCATAATATCCTGCCACAGAAAGGTATGAGTTCTTGACACTTTGTGGGTAGGTTAGTTCGTAGTCAAAAATACTTTTGTAAGCCATGAGGGAATTCCCTTCAAAAACCTGTGTTCCATTAATATGCATGCGACAATTTTTCCATATCGTATGTCCTATAAGCTGCACGCTTGCCACATTATCATCTTTTCCTATATCAACAAGTTTCCCATCCTTGTCTTCTTTCTTAATCCTAAGTTCAGTAAAAACATAAGTTTTGGACAAATCAATATAATTTGTGCTTGCGTGGATTTTGAAATGAAAAGGGGTGATATTTACTGGGTTAAGTGTGAGTAATTCAATAAATGATGAGTTGCTAATACTAACATTTGTATGAGGAGTTTCGAAAAATGATAAAGCATTTGTTATTGCGTTGCCAGAATCGCGATCAATTTTTTGATGAGTAGACATTTTTATTTAATAAAGACCGAATGTATCTATTTTTTGACGTTTCTTTTTTAAGCTATGAGCAGGTTTATTACCAATAATTATTTGATGACTTTTTTCTTTTGAAAATGTTGAATGAGGTCTACGTTTTCTTTTGAGGTTTTTTATACTATTCCTCGCTTGCAATCCGGTTCCAAATTGTTTTGGCATTCCACTCTTTTCAAGTAATCTGTCTAATCCACGTTTTCCCTCACTAATCACTGTTTGTTTAAAATTTGGTTTAAATGCTTCCTGGTCATATTCTGGATTTCCCACACTTTCTAAAATTCTTCCGCCTGTATCCAAAGCTTCTTTTGCTACAGCTGTTCCCGCACGTTTTGCATAAGGTAAAAGGAATCGCCAAAAATTTCTAAGTACATCTCCAACTCCTCCACCTGTTTGTCTTCCGTATCCACGCTGATAAGGATTAAGTCCACGAAAATAGTAATAATTTTCATCAGTCCCTCCTCCTATTTGACTGATAGCTGTATGATGATCATCGTATCCGATTGTTCGCGGATCAAAGGGAATATGAACCATATTTAGTTTAAATAAATTTATGTTTATTTAAAGAAAATACGAAATTAAGAAGCGATAATTTATAGAATAAAATTTTAAGTAGAAAAATTTGGGATAAATTGTAAAATAAAATACTTTAAATTATTTAATGGTGTTCAAATTTTAATTGACAATGAGGGTTTATTAATTTAATATTAATTAAACGGTTTTTATTAATGGAAGGTTAGACACAAAATTTGACATTTCGAAGTGTGGTATTTTGTCGTTTTGACATTTTGAAAGTTGACATTTTAAATAATTTCTAATTCCCCTTAGATTTGTACTTCCGTCCTTTTTTTTAAAATTTTTGACATATTATTTCTTCCCACATTTTTTAATTTAATTAATCTAAATTTTATTTAAATTTAATATTTTTTAAATTTTTTAATTTTAAAATCCTTGTTATTTTTAAAATTTGAATTCCCTCCAACTTTTAAACTTTGAATTCCCGCCAACTTTTAAATTTTGAATTCCCGCCAAAATTTGAAATTTGGCATTTTGATTAAATCCTCCTTACATTTGAAATTCCGCTCATTTTTTAAAATTGTTTTATTTTTGTCAAAATTTTGTAATAATTTTTATTATATTTTAATTTAATTTAATTTTTTAATTATTTTCAAGAATTCACATTTTAATTTTAAATTTTTTAAAATTTTAATTACGAAATTTTTAAACATTTTAAAATCCTCCACCCCATCCCCCAAAATGCACAGAGAAATTAATTTTTATAATTTATCCGATTATTTTATTAAATTTAAGTACACCCCTTTGACCGAATGGATAAGGTTCCCGCATACGAAAAAAACACGACGGTGAAGGTTCGATTCCGCTTGGGGATTTTATTTTTTAAAATTTTATAAAGTGTCTTTATTATTAAATTCATTTCTTTATGATTTTACCACATTTTCACATCCCACCAAAACCTTTTGACTTCTTTTATTTTACCGCACTTTCAAAAAATAATTTAAAAATTTTTATTTTACCCTCCAAATGTTGCAACAGACCACCCAGACACCACAAACGTCAAACCTGTCAATTACCGCAAACTTCCACCAAAAAGCAATTAATCATCAATGATTAATTACCCTAATTAATCATGATTAATTACCCTCAAACCCTTCCAAAAGCAAAGGGTTTGCGGCAAAGATCAAAAGAAAAATACCCCCTATAGCCTCAGGTTTAATTGACAGGTGATCAAATGGGGTGTGACGGTGTGACGTTTGGGGGGGGTTTACTACTTAAATAGGATCCTATTTAGGTCCAAAAAACTTAAAAATAGGTCCGAAATAGGTCAAAAAAGGCCAAAATAGGTCCAAATTTTGACAAATTAGGTTCTAATTTTGGTTGAAATTAAAACATTTTTGTTATCACTTTTATTAAATTTGAACTTTTTTTATGATATTTTTTTATTTTAAATAGAAATTTACCGAAATTTGAGTGATATAACAATGCCAAACCCTAAATACCGTAGCATTTTAAGGGATTTCGTAATATAAGGGGTGTACGAGATAAAATGGGATATCGATGAATTTGAATTGAATGGGGATTTATGGGTTAAAGGGATTTGGATAGGCGGCGGAGTTGTAGCATTTAATTAGGTTAAAGAATAATTAAAGAAATATCTTTGATTTAACGTTATATCGGGAGATTTTTTCTTTCAAATCCACCAGGGGGCTTCTGAGGTATACAGTGAAAGGAAAATTAAAAACTAATTTACTAAAAATAATAATCCAGAACCCCCACTTAACAAAACAAATCTCCGTTATCTTTTTTAATCGCCCAAATCAATTATTCCACTCCAAATTCATTGATATCTTTTTTTTATCTGTCAAAATTCCCAAATAAACAAATAAAAATTTACAAATTAAAAAAAAATTGTTGACCAAAATGGTGTTATGTAGCATTAAAATTCATTAGTCAGGGAAAATCACTGAAATGTCTAATATAAATGTTAACCTTACAATTTTCGAGGGCAGTTCTAGTACGATGGCAGATTCTAGTTCCTACTAAATGAAGATATACCAGAATACTAGCGCCGCAGGCAAAATTTTGGCTCTACTCCAGTTTATGCGTCCAATCGACTTTTATGCGTCCAATGAAAGTTTATGCGTCCAATAAAAAGAAAATTGGATTTTTCTTGGTATTGCAAAGTTGGGTTATGGCTCCAAACCATTTCTTCATGTTCAGGACCTACGTCCACTGTATCTGGGACCGTTCCTTACCCAACCCCTCGAAATTTCTTAAAGTTATAATCGTTTTTCTGAAATTTTAAAAAATTGGCTGTAACTTTAAAAAAATTTCTAGGGATAGGGTAAAGAATGGTCCCAGACCCAGTGGACGTAGGTCCCGAACATGAAGAAATGTTGTGGACACATACCTCAACTGTGCAATACCAAGAAAAATCCAATTTTCTTTTTATTGGACGCATAAACTTTCATTGGACGCATAAAAGTCGATTGGACGCATAAACTGAAGTAGAGCCAAAATTTTTTGGGTTTTTGGTGTTAAAGATGCTAGATTTGGCGGAAATTGACTAAAAATAATGAAATTTTAAGAAAAATTTTCAAAAAACCTAGAATAGGTCCAAAAAAGGTCGAAATAGGCTCAAAATAGGTCTTAGGTCCGAAATGTCGAAATATGTTTTTTAGGTTTTAATAACTTGAAAAGTACGTTACACTATGCGGTAAAACAGTGTTTTTTCGACTTATCTCATCAAGGGCTGTTCGCAAAAAAAAACCAACAATATTGACAGCAACCTTAGTCTATTTCATCAACTTTTATTGTATTTCTATTATGTGATAAACACGCTATTGTATTGCTTCGTAATTGTTGTAAAAGAGTACAATTGCACTATCTTTAATATAGAGAAATGGATCCGCTTCCGACTTCCGCAGAATTCGGCCTTTATTGCTCTTCGGCTTTTGCCTTCCGCTTTTTAAAATTCAAAATTCTCCAAAATTGATATTTACATTCTGATTACCATTCAACTTCTAATTTGATAAAGAGGAATGACTCATACATTAAATTTTGACAATCTTCTTCATTTTTAAAGGTTCTAAATTTTACCTATATAGAAATTCAAATGCTTTTTTATTTGCCAAATTCAAAATTTCAGTCATAATTGAATTTGGCCAACATAATTTATTTTTAAATTGGGTTTTTATTTTGAAATATGAGTCTGGGAAAAATTTTTTTTACAATTTAAATTTTATAAGCTAGTTAAAAATTTAAAGATTCATCGAATTAAAATTTTCAAAGACTGATGTAAATTTTAAAAAATTTTCAAAGACTGATGTAAATTTTTAAAAAATATTTTCTCTTATTTAAATAAATTGAATACCTTCGTGAACAACACATCTTTCAAATTATTTTTTAAGAAAATGTTAATTATTATTAATTTTCTAATTTTCTTCAATGTTATAAAAGTTGTTAATTTAGCTGGGGAAAATGATTTTTTTGTTGGAATTCCTCAAAATTGTACATATTTTATTATTTTAATTAGTAGAGGCGTTCGGGACTCTTGGTCTTGTATCTTGATTCCATGGCTTTTCTTTTGATCCGCTCTGTGCTTAAGATGATATCTTGGAATAAGTGGAAAAATTATAGTAGGAAAACTATAATGACCTTTTGGTTGAAAAATGACCTTTTGGTTTCTGACCTTTTGGTTTGAACCTAAAATGGGTATCTTTTGTTAAGTTTCGACTTTTTTAAAGTATTATTCGATTGTAAAAAAACTTTTTTACAGACACTAAGTACAACTGGGAAACATTCAACAATTTGTTTTACCCAAAAAATTTGAAGAAACGAATGGCTTCTTCAACTGAGACTGACGAGGATACTGTACAATTAATTGAAGAGGGATATAAAAAACTTAAGGAAAATAACT